ATGCAACAATAGAGAAATCTCAATTTCATGGGCCATTCATTTATTCATTACTCTTTCTTTTGTATGCAGTTGTGCTCAAACACACACACACACTCATACAAACACACACACCACACCCTGATAGCCATCAGCTTTCGGGCACCGTCTATTGTTTCAGCTCAGTGCTAATTACTTAAGGCCTTAACCCCAGGTTCAGTCACAGAACAGGGGAGGGGGATGGGGGGGTGTATGTGAATGCATGTGTGTGTGTGAGTGAGCACAGTGGAGAGTGTGTGTTGCCAGTAGGGGGTAGGGTCTGCCGGGTGGCGAGGTCAATGCTGCTGCCAATCAAATGTCACAGTGGATTCGCCTGAACATCATGGAATAATGCAGTCAATGCAGCACAACCACGTGGTCGGAAATCCCGACTGCAACGACAGGTTATTCCTCAAAGAAGAACATTGCTCTGTATGATGACGAGAATTTTCACAAATTCTGACCAAAAAACAGACCAAGTGCCAAGTGAATGATGTGTTTGATTTTAGGGTTCATTTGAGGGGTCGATTCTTCAAACTTTGTTTTTGGTTGGGCTGGAATTGTGGACATTTGACAGACTTCCTATATATGTGTGTGTGTGATTCTGGGTCACGTGTGGAATGTCAACACAGCGTCTCTTATCTTTTCCCAATTCCAGCAGTGTCAAAAGGTCAACACGCAGATTTTAAATGAATAATGCGGAGAGTCGACGACGTAGACAGAGGACACCGATGGTGTCACGGCTCCTCCGTCGCAGTGGATGGTGGTCGAGAAAGGTCACGTGTTCGAATCCAACAACTACCAGGGTGGCGCTCGGGCGCACTGAGCACGGCACCGTTCCCCGGGGTGTGCGCAATTTGAGCTGTCCTCACTTTGGTGATGGGTTAAAGGAAGAGGACACATTTTGTTGTGAAAAAAACAAACTCCTCCATCACAGTTACAATGACATTGTTGTCATTTTCACCTGTTGATTTGATAGGTTTGAATTACAGGAAGTAATATTAGTGTTGGGACATGGTTAAAAATAATTATTATTCAATTTAAATTCATTTAATGTAAAGTGATGAATAGAAATGCATGTGAAATTAAACAGCAAAAAAAAAATCTCGAATTATTTTTGTCATTTGTCTACTGAATTTTATGTTCAAAATTGAGAACTTCATTTAGCTCCCATCGTACGTCTCATCTGGTATAATATGAGCTGGCTACTAGCTAAAGTTAACTCCGTGCTTGGGGGCCCACCTGTTTTGCACTAAGTTGATCACTTAAGGTGGAAAACTGGGGTAAACACCAAAAAACTTTTATCCAAACTGCCATCGAGCAGAACTGTCTCATCGTCCATCGCGGTTGGTTTAACTTTGTGAGTGTGAGCATCAGTGTCACAAGTGCGCCTGGAATCAAGGAACTGCTGGCGATACCGTAGGACTACAAAGACATCAACACGCTAATGAAACCTTCTGAGGTTCAAATACATCAATTCTGAAGCTGAGCTTCGATTCACCAGGTCAGTGCCGGAGTCCCACTCATAACAAAACAAAACTGAAGCATTCGCAATTTTTTTTTTCCCCCCGTTACTTCTCGCCCAAATAGTTGCAGCAAATCCAAGTCCTTCCTCACCCAGGTTTTGCTTTTGCAATACAGAAATGCAAAAAAAAAGAAAGAAAAAAAAAAAAAAGAACCCGTCTCCCAGGGTGTCGGGGGCAAACAAAACCTGTCCAGTATGGGGAATTCATTGCAATGCAAAACAGATTTCCAATGCTTCAGCATCACTTAAGGCCCTACTTTCAATTACAATGTCACGAGCATTTAGAGCTGATGGGCTTTTAGTGAGGGGGGGGGGAGTGGAACCTGTGGTGAAGTTCCAGACTGCCTTAAAAGAACCATTAGGGACTTTAAATATAAAACAAATACTCGAGGGACACCACACGCACACACGTGCGCGTGCGCGCGCGCACAAAGATGGATTTTTCAGATGGTGCATTCGTTAAAAAAAAAGAAAAAGAAAAAAAAACAGTGAGAATAAATGCAGGCCACATCTGGAGGTTTTAAAATAGCAGGTCTGCATATTGTCAAGGACCGTTCGGGGCAACGCGTTCTGATTTTCCCTCTGCATGATGAGAGGAAGAGGCGACGCCGTGTTGGAAATTGGGAGAGAAAAGTAAAAGGATGTAAAGAGGAAAGAGGAAAGGAGGAGTGAAAAAAATGTAGAGGACACGAGGAGGGGTAACGGGAGGTGGGGAGGGGAGCGCTTCTATTTTTTCTCCCGGATCCCGCCCTTCTGGTCAGCGGTTGGTCAGGAATACCACAGCTCCCGTGCACTGATTGGTCGCCCCTGCTCTTGGACGGACAGGAATCGTCTCAGCTCGCAGACACAATAAAGTTTAGTGCTGGACGGAGTCGAGCAGTCGGCGCAAAGAACCCAGATCGGTGTGCGTCGTAACGCAGAGGCTGCGCGTCCCCACACGGAGTGAACACTGTCGGGCTAAACAAGGACTCGGCAACTTTTGTAGATGTGCTTTTTTTTTTTTTTTTTTTTTATTTTAAATCCAGCTATCGGGGACACTTGTTTTGGTTGCGCACACTTCCCAGGATTTACGATTTTCTGGATATTTCATCCATTTATTGGCTCCGAGGTTGGATGTAAACGCAGCTCCCACAACGCACGGACTTTAACCACGCACTCTGTGACTACACAGAAAGAAACAAAAACAAAAACACCCACTGTGGTTTCCAGAGTATCCCAGCGCAACTTCGTTTTGCGGGGGGAAAAAAAAAAAAATTAGATTTGTTAATATTTACAGAGAGAGCAGCCGCTCAGGGGTCGCGGTCACCATGCCCGGGATGATGGTTTCACTGACGGGCACTGCTTTCCTCCTGCTGGCCGGGCTGTCCGCTTCGCTGCGCCCGGTGCAGGCATTCGGGGACGAGGTGGACGAGATGACCTGCGACCCGATCCGCATCAGCATGTGCCAGGGTCTCGGCTACAACGTCACGAAGATGCCCAATTTGGTGGGAAACGTGCTGCAGTCGGACGCGGAGCTGCAGCTGACCACCTTCACGCCGCTCATACAGTACGGCTGCTCCAGTCAACTCAAGGGATATAAAAAAAAAAAAAAAAAAGAGGATGTGGTGCACTCTGACCTCACAGAGAGTGGAGGGTTTTACAAAGCATGGAATAAGTGTAAGGGAATGGACGGAGAGGTTTCGTTTACTTATACAGAACCACACATAGACAAAATGCATAAAGTTACACATGCGCAATTATAGGAACTGATTCCTGATCTGTAAAGCATAAAGTTACATGCACTTGTATGCACTTATAGGAACTGATTCCTGATCTGTAAAAGCTTAAAAAGACATATCCAGAACTCGTTAGTTGGAAGTTGGGAATTACTTGATGATGATGGAAACCAGTAGCCCGAAACACAAGACTCAGTTTTTGGGAGAGAGCCTGAAACTTTTCCAGCCAAGTATCAAGTAGTAAGTCATCAATCATCACAGCATTTATGTAGACGGAGCACAAAATGAATAATTAATAGAAAATTGACCTCTCGTTGTACATATTTCTATGTCGATCAGGGTCAGTTCTGTAGTCCAAGAAGGGTCAATGGAACGTTTATTATGCAAAAAAATATGCAAAAAAAAAAAAATCAGAATTTCTGGGGTAAACCAAAAAGTCTCATCCCGCATTTGTTTACACACCAGCGTCATCATTGACATGAGATACAAGATAGGAAAAAGGGAAAAAAAGTTCATGTGGCCCACCCGTGGGCCGCAGCGGAGGCACCTGGGGCACTGCATTTAAAGATTCATTAATTGCTCACAGAAAAACCCACCCCTTCCCTCCTCTCCCGTCCTCTCCCCTCGCCCGGTTGTATCAGACCGTCATGTAAATTTCCATAAAAATGCCCCCTCTGTCTGTTGACATTCTGAGTTCATGCCCCACACAGCAACAGCTGAATCCTGGCTGATGTATACAGTGGGCCAGCGGTTAACAATGCTGCGCTCAGTGTCTCCAGACAAATGCTGCTTGTTTGCATCGTGCATCATGTGTAGTAAAAAAAAAAAAAAAATCAGTCATCACCTCATTACTGAAATCGGAGGTTTATTAATTATCCTAACTATCCAAGACCTGATTATATAACCTGGTTAACATTTCATTGATTTTTTTTTTTTTTTTTTTTTTACATCACCATAAACCGATACAGTGAAATCTAATAGAAAAAGGAACAACTGTCACATTAAACCAACCTGTCCCGCTCCGGCTGAACATTTACTGCGAGGACACACACACACACATACACATAGGCCAAAGAGAGAGGAAAGGGAAACCGTATCTGCTAACATTTGCTCTAATGGGAGGCTTCCTGACTGGTAACCGGAGCAGCTTTTAGCAGTGAAGTGACAGCGCTCGTGTTACCAACGGTCTGGGAAAACACCCAGAATGTGTTACATTACTGTCACGGCTAGAGCCGGCACAGCTCACTGTAAGAAATACCAGAAATTGTTCGGCGTGTAATATAATATGTGCTTCTTTTATAAACTCATGTGAAGCGATGAGACATCAGCTCCCTTATAAATATGGGCAAGTCGTTGGGAGTTCGCTCCCAAGCATATATCAAATCAAAATGAGTCGAGGGCAGCTATGATAATTCGGGTTCTGTGAGGGCACAAAGATCCCCTCTGTGGTTAGAAACTCAACACCAACTCCACATCAGCCACTCTGCCCCATTTGCAGAGATAAAAGCCGTGCGGCGGCCACATTATCTATCAGGGAGCAATAAAACACACGGGAAACGGGACCATTTTGACATTTTAGACCCCACCGGAGTTTTTACACTCGGCTGTTTTTGTGCCGTTTTTTAACTTTTTATCGGATCCTGTGCGGTTCGACCGTCACAGCTCAGACGCACGGCTGCAGGATCCATTGGTTCGCAGGTTCCGTTTCTTCCCACAGAAACCGGAGAGGCACGGTGTTTTTGTGTGTATTTATTTCCCAACCTTGATGCCTTCCCTAGTGTCGAGTTCCACCTGGGCTCCATTCACAGGCTGATTTTCAAGATAGGACTTTTTTTTAACAGCTGGATCAAAGCAGGTTTTAAGAAAATTTGACTGGTTTATTTAAATTTATTTCAGAGTTTTTTTTTATTTTAGACTCGTCACTTAAACCACATGCTCCTAAAATTAAAATGCTTATTTGATTGAGGCGTTGCGTTGAGTCGCATTAAGTTTAGCCACTGTGTATTTTAACAAGGCAGGGGGAAAAAAGTCGGGAAATAATTGAACACTTTGACCTTTCATGACCCCTCAGAGAGCCGCTCT